TACCCAAGGGGAGGTCTCCCTTGGATTAGCCAACATAAAGATTTAGCTACTCATGATTAAATAAGAACCAACAATGTAGTGAGACTTCATTACAAGGAAAGGAAATGCTTGATGAAGTAAATGCAAGAAANTCTCTGTATTGTATCAAACTTGCAACTCAATTGGACGGTTGGATCAAAATTTATGATAATTCTACAAAAATTGGTTCAGAGTAGAGCATACCGGTACGTTCGTCGTACCAATACGCTACCCAACATGCCCAGAACGCCTTCAAATCATGCTCCACTTGCTTGGGGGTCCCATCATTGATTCTCTNCATTAATGGTGAAAGCTTTAACGGAAGATTGAACTTGAAAACAACTAGACATTAATGGCATTCGAAGCATTAAAGGAAACTTCAAAGGTTCTTACATCAAATTAGAAGATAATGTATGGAAGAAACTGTAAAAATCTGAACTTCTCTCTCTAATACTATTCATCTTCTTCCTAGAGCTTCTTTCTCTATATTACCATGTGTAATGTATGAAGTGCTGAACAATGGAGTCCTCTCTTGCCAAAAATATGTTTGGAGTGATGGCCTAGCCTACAGATGTGATCTCCATCCATAGGGCTCCAAGAGGAATGGGTAGAACAGGGGGGTGCAAACCTTGTTTGTACACCCAGCTTCTNCAGATGTGATCTCCATCCATAGGGCTCCAAGAGGAATGGGTAGAACAGGGGGGTGCAGACCTTGTTTGTACACCCAACTTCTCTTCTCTTCTCTTCTTTCTCCTCATTGATCACAATGGCTCCAAAATTCTAAAGAGAGGTGTGAAAGGGATGAACAATGTTGTGGGCGTGTCAGAGGAGTGTGGGAGACCTGTTGGTGGACCCTTAAGGCAGCAGAGCATGGCTACAGAATTTAGGTAGAATCAGTAAAGCGTACCGGTACGCGTACCAGTACCCCGAACTCTAGTAGTCTAAGCGTACCGGTATGGTTTGGCTGATTTTCTAATTTTTGATTTTATCCTCTCCTGAGCTATCCTCAAGCCATCCTTTCATCTTCATCATCCTCAAACCATCTAAGAAGGCTTTAAGAAGCATCATTTGGCATCTTTCATCTGTAAACCCCACAATTTTTCATTAATAGCTCAATTAGCACAAGTCCACACATTTAATCCCCAAAAGCAAGTGAACAAAGAATGTATTAGCACATAAAATATGCTATGTTTTGTGCTAATCAGTAATTTAAGGGAGACCTCCTCTTGGATTTTCTATTTCAACTCATTTTTTTTCTTCCTCTCGGTGTACGATGGTCCGGTTTGACTGGGTTGAGAGTGGATGTGATTGTGAGTCTTTGATATCCCGTAGGCCTAGTCACGGGTTATGTTTGGATCCTCACCTCCATCTTGTTCCTAGCTTCCCATGAATCAATCATTCATCTAAGCACCATTGGAGGAAGGTTTTGAGTTGAGTTGATATTTCCATTGGAATGACCTCTTTGGATTAGACAACACTTGTTTTATTTCATTTCCATCAAAAACACAAATCACCAAACTCAAAACTCAAAAGATTTTACACTTTTCCATTTTTTACAAAATCACCTTCACTACACTTGAACTTTCATTCCCTAAGGAGACGACCTTGAAATACTTTTTCAAGTAAAACATGAAAATCAAAAGACTCCTTACGCTTGGGGAGCACTTTTGTTCACACACGCATTTCATTTTGTACATTTTATTCATCCACTATTCCGTTGCTCCATCTTTTGCATCATTCCGAGGGAAAGTAACACTCCCCCATTCCTATAAGTCATACACACATTGAGGGATGATGTTAGGGGACTAGGGAATACAACGAAAAATATCAAACAGTTGTCACCTAATAGGTGAATTTGGTGGAGTTTCTGGTGTCTGCAGTGGCTTTTGATGGGAATAAAGGTCGTTTCCCGTAGCATATGGAGTGATTGAAAGTGAAAGGACAAAAAGTTGGGGATGGTTTCTTCAAAATCTATATACTGTCATTGGAGCAGCGGATATGACCAAATCTTGGGCCTTTATCTCAGACAACTAGAAGGTATGCTTCTAACTTGTAATTTCTTAGCCATTTAGTTTCATTTTAATGTCTTTTCTTATTTGTCATTATTATTTCTTGTTTCTTGTTTCTTGTTTCTTGTTTTGGTTAGGGTGACACTCTAGGGATAAGATAAAGTGTTTGAGGAAGTGTTTCCTAGAAGTAAACATAAAAGATGTTGTAAGCATCTTTATAACAACTTTAAGCCCAAATTCCCAGGGTTGCTACTTAGGATTTATTTCTGGAAGACAACTAGGGCTTTTACTGAGATGGAGTTTAGGGAAACCATGGATAAAATGAAAGATTTGAATTGTGCTGCATATGATTGGCTAATGAATATTCCTGTACACACATGGGCTAGGCACACTTTTGACCATACTATTAAGAATGACCACATAACCAACAATTTGTGTGAGTCATTTGACAACTGGATTGGTTTACAAAGATAGAAACCAGTTTTGACACTGTTAGAGGGAATAAGGTGCAAGTTAGTGGTGAGGCTGCACAAAAGAAAAATGAAGGGGAGTCTTTGGGAAGGTCTTGTTAATAAAGAATATTAGATAGAAATTGAACAAGGTGGTAAAGAACAACATGCAGTGTAATGTGCTTTGGCCTGAAAACTTGGACTTTGATATTCGTCACAAGGAGACCACATACCCTGTCAATTTAACCACCAAGGAATGTGCTTGCATAGAATGACAGATTACTAAGGTCCCTTATGTTCATGCAACAACATCAATAAGTTCTTAAAGGGAAAATATTGAGATGTTTTGTGATGCTTATTTCACAAAGGAAAAATATATGTTGGCTCATGGGGATATCATACATCCAATTACTGACCATAAGATGTGGGCTCCAAGTAGAGAAAATCTCCATCCACCACCTCTACGCAGGTTACCTGGAAGGCCTCGAAACAATTGAAGAAGAGCTATAGATGAACCAACAGCTGGCACAAGTGAAATGAGAAAGGGCAGACAATTAGGTGCCAGATTTGCAAGCAAATAGGTCACAATAAACAAACTTGCCAAAGAGCATCTGTCAAAGGAAAAGGTGCAACTCAGGTAATTTTTAATTATGTTCATAACAAATGAAAATTTTAGTTCAACATTTTTTTATGTTTATGTATTTATGTACGCAGCAAACTATACCAACACCACAATTACAACAATGCTCTCAATCTGGTGAATCTAGAATTTCTATATCACAAGAGGAAATTGATAATCCTGTTAGGGGAATTGGGGCAGACACTCAAGCCAGTGTAAGGGCAAATGTGAATGGAAGTTGACTTCTTCTGGGACGTGAATGGTGCCTTTTTTTGTATGACCTTTCGGATATTGACTTGTGAATGGTGTGCATAGCTAGCATAGAAATATGAATGGTGCCTTATTAGTCTTATTAGTATTTTTTTGAGATTCTGATGGCAGTTTTTGATTAGTGTAATATGTACACAAACAACTATTGTATTTGATACTATTACAATGTATTAAAGCCACTACATAGTTAGCATAATTCCAAAAGCCAATACATATTTCATTTCAGCTCATTACATATATAGCACAACTCCAAAAGCATACTTAGGACATATACACTGCCTACATAATAGGTAAAATACAACCTAACATTACAGATAAGACTACATTACTGGAATTTCTAGTTCTTGCTAATAGACATGACTATATCAAATAGTTGCATTACAAACCCAACTAACACTGCAACAATGAGGGCTTTCAAAAGTGCATGTGTGTCCTGGGCGTTATGACCCCTTTCTGAGTTGGAAATTCATCGTAGTCCATACCCATGTTTAACACATGGAGGCATTATAATTAACTGGGGATAACACCAAGCAACGAACCTGCACCCCCCTTTTTCTCACAATTGAAATACAATCTCCCTCTTAATGCCTTCTCGGTTTTCACTATCCTTATTGCTGCCTTCTTCCCACAATTACATTGTGTTCCAACGAACCTTAAATCCAACATCTTATGTCCTCCAAATCCTTCTCTATTCCCACCTCCAAATCTACTGTTGGAAGAAGATGACATGTTTTGTGCCTATAGTTACAGCATACAACAAAATACAAGTCATATTATCAATGACAGACACACCCCTTGCCTTTTTACATAACAATGGAAACACCCCATTTTGATAACACTTGCTATAACAGTGAGCCCATCCACTTCTAACACAAATAATGCATATATATACTATTGTTATACGTGTATATGTATATCCATTTATAACTGTATACAAAAAAAATAGATGGACATAGAGATATATAGGTAAAGAGATATGGAGGAAGACAAAAAAATAAGAGAACCATTACCTGCTGAATAAGAAGCTTTAGGAAAGGAAGATGGGTTTTTAAATGAAAATGAAAGGGTAAAATAGGCATTTCAATAATCATTTTGAAGGATAATGGTTTTGCAGACATTGACTTTTATTAGGGGGCATTATTGGAATTATAATAGATTGTTTGGCTGATGTCATTATATTCTGTAATCATGTCTAACGTCTGTCAAGTTAGGGGCCTAGACGTAACAAATTTTAAATATGAAGGCGTTCGAGTGTCATTTGTCAAAAGTTAAGGGATGTCCATATAATAAATTAAAAAGTCAGGGAGTGTCCGTGTAATTTACCCATTTAAAAAATAAGTTGTTTTGAAAAAAAGGACCAAAGGTTTCAAAAAAAAAAAAAAAAACAAACCCCAGCAACAACAAACAAAGAAAAATAGAAACAAAGCCGGCCTGCGGAGATTAACGAGATCCAGGCTTCGAGTGTTGTTAGCAGCAAAACGTCTTTTTTTTGTGCAAAGATAAAATTCCACGTGATTCTCTCTCCGCTCTCTTTAACAGAAGCTCTCTCCATTGCTCGACGAAGACCGATGCGCTCTCGCCTCCGTCTGTGGAACGAAGGCCGAAGCTATCTCGCCTCCGTCTGTGCAACGAAGACGGAAGCTCTCTCGCGCATCTGTCTGCGCAACGAAGACAACTCAGGTCTCTCTCTCACTCTCTCGCTTTCTATCTGTTAGATCTGAGTTAGATCTATTAGAAGCCTACATATATACCTTATATCTGCATAGATCTTGAGTGATTTATGTGTGGATGTGTTGATCTAAGTTAGATTTGTATAGATTTTTTGTGTGTGTGTGTTGATTTGTGGGTCTGTGTGCGTTTTTGTGTGTGTGGATGTTTGATTTTTGTGTGCGTATGTTGATTTGTGGGTCTATGTGTGTGCGTTTTTATGTGTGTGGGTGTCTGATTTTTGTGTATGTGTGGAGATATGTTTGTCTGAGTTGTATTCAACTTCTCAAAATAGAATTCATGTGGGGATCTATATCTCATTTAATTGAGTCTCTTTTTGGAACATATCAATAATATGCATTGGGTGTTCATCTGATATTAAAATGAATGTGAAATCAAATAGCTAACTACAAACGACTCTAATCTTGCATTTATGATTTGAAATAATTTTAATACGACACGAACTCAAAGCTGCTCAATCGATTGTTAAATGCCCTTCTTTTTTTGACCAATTTGTAACCTTTTCTTATTGAATAAATTATTGCTACCTTTTTTTGCGCCATTGATAATTATACAATTAAGCATGTATGAATGTTAGTAGATATTGAAGGTGCCATGGTGGTTTGTGCATGAAAAGGTGTGTGGTTAGTCGGCTAAAATACAAACACACAGTTGCTATGGTGGTTTGCCCATGTAAAAGTTTGTAATTTCAGCAATTCCTTTAGTCACCTAATCTTTGACTAATGGATGGTGCCTCTTAAAATAGAAACACACAGTAGAATATATGTCCTTTAGAGTAATTTAAAACTAATGAGGATACCAATTCCTAAACAAATTGTACCCTTTTCTTTCTTGTGAAGCTCATTTTCTTTCTTGGCCCACCTATCAGCTGCTGGTTGTTGTTCTCTTTGTTGGTATTTTTTTTTTTTGCTGGTGTTCCCTGTCTGTGCTGGTTGCTGTGGCTGGTTTTTTGGCTGGGTGACTGATGCAGGGGAGCGGGTAATCAGTATTGCATCAGCGCTGCTAGCTGTTTTTTTTTTTTGTGGTTTTTGATTGTTGCTGTGCTGGTTGCTGGCTGCTGGCTGATTGGAAGTCTAGGAAAAAAAAATGGGATTGTGTTGTTTGGATGGTTACAAGTTTGAATGGTTGGAGTAGTTGTGGGAAATTGGTTTGTATATTGAATAATGGGCACATTTGCTATGTTTAATGACTTGTGTGATTCAATTATGTTAAAGATCAACCAAAAATGTTTTTTGTTTTTATTTTCATAATTTTTTAAACATAAATGGCTAACAATCATATTTTCTGTTTTTAGTTTTTACTATAGGAAAAAAAAACTATTTCTGTTTTTTTGAAAACACGAAAACAAAAACGTTACCAAACGTTAATGAGCATAACATTACTCATATTCTTATTTTGTTTCTGTTTCTGTATGATTGATTTGAAGAGGAGCAGAATACTTTGAGAGCATTAGGCCTGAAACAAACTGACGGTAGCATAAAGCAAGTTGCCCACGTACACTTCTTAAAACCTGGCGTCTACAAGAAGCACTTCCTCGGAAATCACTTTTTATCCTACCAAACAGGTAGAACAGCTACAAAAGCCCTTGCATCCCCCGTCAGTTGCTGTTTTTTCCACATAACAGACGATCATTGATCATAATCAAAAGCCAAAGCCATGGCGGTAATTCACTCTCATCTCCGCTACATCCATACTCCCAGATCTGTATCCAACATTAAGCATTTCATTTTTTTGAAGTTTATATTGATCTTCTTTTGTGTTTTGTTTATATAGGATTCGTCGGGGACGACATTAATGGATTTGATAACGTCGGACCAACCATCGTCAATGTCGGCACCTCAAGCTTCAGCACCAACAGCGATGACGGCGTCATTCTCTTCTTCATCATCGTCAATAGCGATGTCACCAGCAGCGAAGCCGTTGCCATCAGAACGGAAGTCGAAGAGAGGGACTCTTATGCAAATTCAGAGCGACACCATCTCTGCTGCCAAAACTGCTCTCAATCCTGTTCGTACAAATATAATGCCCCAAAGACAAAAGAAAAAGGTATTCAATCTTCATTGTATTGTTTGGATCACATTTGTCATTTTTCGGAAAAGTCTTAAGGGTGGAATTATAGGTCGATTTTGTTCTTTAAGATTCTATTTTAAATATCTCTAACTTTTGTTATTTGTATTGTATGTAATGGTGTCTGTTTTTTAATTTTTGTACAGCCAGTTTCTTATGCACAACTTGCGAGGAGTATTCATGAACTAGCTGCTACATCTGATCAAGTATATGGGCCACTACATTTCCAATTCTTTTCTTTACTATTTCGGTATTTTTATCTTGGCAGTTTTACGTATTTGTTTTTCGTTGTAATATTTTTTTGGTAGAAAAATTCCCAGAAGCAGTTGGTCCATCACGTGTTCCCCAAACTTGCGGTGTACAATTCCGTTGACCCTTCTTTGGCGCCATCTCTTCTCATGGTATGGGTGAATTTCTTTTATCTCTATAAATTCAAATGATTTTTGTGTCAATATCAAACTGATGAGACCATATCTACAATTGATTATTAGCCAAAAGCCTAGAAACCATAGTTGTTAAATCGCAATTCGTATCGTGAATCGGAATGCTAAATTTGAGAATAGTGAATCGTATCGAATCTTGAATCGTAAGATTCGNACTCTTATGCAAATTCAGAGCGACACCATCTCTGCTGCCAAAACTGCTCTCAATCCTGTTCGTACAAATATAATGCCCCAAAGACAAAAGAAAAAGGTATTCAATCTTCATTGTATTGTTTGGATCACATTTGTCATTTTTCGGAAAAGTCTTAAGGGTGGAATTATAGGTCGATTTTGTTCTTTAAGATTCTATTTTAAATATCTCTAACTTTTGTTATTTGTATTGTATGTAATGGTGTCTGTTTTTTAATTTTTGTACAGCCAGTTTCTTATGCACAACTTGCGAGGAGTATTCATGAACTAGCTGCTACATCTGATCAAGTATATGGGCCACTACATTTCCAATTCTTTTCTTTACTATTTCGGTATTTTTATCTTGGCAGTTTTACGTATTTGTTTTTCGTTGTAATATTTTTTTGGTAGAAAAATTCCCAGAAGCAGTTGGTCCATCACGTGTTCCCCAAACTTGCGGTGTACAATTCCGTTGACCCTTCTTTGGCGCCATCTCTTCTCATGGTATGGGTGAATTTCTTTTATCTCTATAAATTCAAATGATTTTTGTGTCAATATCAAACTGATGAGACCATATCTACAATTGATTATTAGCCAAAAGCCTAGAAACCATAGTTGTTAAATCGCAATTCGTATCGTGAATCGGAATGCTAAATTTGAGAATAGTGAATCGTATCGAATCTTGAATCGTAAGATTCGACACAAAATTTGAACAAAAATAAAAAATAATATTACATATTTAAAATAGACAAAATATTAAATATTGAACATTATTGCATTCTAAAAATAATTAATTGACATAATCACATCGTCTAAATGGAAAGACGCTAGCCTTTTGTTTCTTTTTTATCTTTTGCTTAACTATTTTTAAATTTAACAACTTGAAAAAAAAATTCATAAAAGAACAATGGTTATTCAAGAATTAAAATAGCGACACCCAGTATAGATTAAGTTACAAACATGAAAGAAAAAATAACAAATAAAAAAATTGATTGAGAGAAAACATACTAGCCAACATATTGAAACAAAAATTTAGAACCTAACAAACTACTCATGAAAGAATTGATAGCAAAAATCAACCAATGATTCAAGAGCGTTAGCTATGACCTTTAGCTTTAGACAACCCAAGGCAAGTTTTAGACGACATCAGAGAAAGATAACGAGCAAAGAGGTTGAGATTTTTTAGGGTGTAGGTTCCTCTGTAAACAAAACGATGTCGTTTTACTGCTTAGCGGACAAAACGATATTGTTTTGCCAAAAAATTGGGTTTTAAAAAGAAGTGATTGAATCGTGTAATTCGTGAGATACGAATCGAATCGTATGAATTGTACGATTCAGGTGCGATTCAACTCTAAAACGATTTTCATATAAGATACAAATTGTTTTGTATTTGTATCGAATCGAATCGAATTGCGAATCGTACGATTTTGATAACTATGCTAGAAATATTTATGTTTCTACAAAGTTGTTACTCGGTTGTTTTTCATTGGTTCTTTTAATGAAATTTGCTTTTGTGTATAAGATGATTCATAATTTATGGACAACTCTCAGGCCTTACATGTTTGAATTATTCTAAGTTTCTAGCCTATCGGGGAAAGGAAGAAAAGAACAAGTAAACAATATTAAAACTTCATGGTTGTATTAATATGTAGATCTTTATATCTTACTGGAATGCAAATTTTTTTTTGAGGGTGTACAGTGAGGGCTTTTACTGTCTTCTTCATTTTTGTGGTGGGGTCCACACATGGTCTCTGAAATATGCCTCATATAGTTTTGCCCTACTTAGGTCAATTCTCAAGGCAATTATTAATTGAGCAATTGAAGTCCCTCATGGTTTATCTAAATTTTAAGGGGTATACTTGTCTTTAACTAACACTGACACTTCCTGCAAAATTTGTCGGCGTAATGGCATTAGCGATGAACTGTCGTTTTCCATATTTTTTAAAATGACAGCCCTTATGGATTGTTAAGATTGGGCGAGACACTGATACTTGTTATCGTCTATCAAAGTTTCAAGCTATGAAGCATGTTCACTCAATTTGGGCTCACGTATTAGTGTCCGACATGTCTGGGACACAAACACCCTTGGACGCGTCCCCGGACACGCAAAAAATGGTGTCCATATTTTTTTTTTTTTTAAATTTTTGGATACGTCCCAACACGTTTGGGACACATTACTTTATATATTTGTATCTAGATTTAAAGAAGATGAAGATAGTAAATATCAAGAAGAAGAAAAATTGCAGTCGATTTAGAGACAAAAAAAACGAGGGGGTAGGGGTGAGAGAGAGAGAGACAGAGAGAGCAACAACAAATTTACCGATCGAAGAAAAATGTTGCAGAAGGTCTTTGGAGAGCTATTGTGAAGTACTGGATCCAGCAACTCCATTAAAAACTGACAGTGGTGGGAACCATGCTATTGACTCATGAAAAGAGTTTGGAGCCAAAACTTGAACTGTCCATGCTATAGTGTGTTTAGGCTTGGCAATCCAACGGTTGGTGAAGCTCCGCACAGCTGCTCAACTCAAACAAATTTGAATGGACAGCCAGATTTTGTTGCCCAGCACTGCAACATCAACTATTCACCGAATCCCCCTCTTAAAATATGCAGCAGTTTAATGTTGTTGGAGTTGTTCTTGGTTTATGACAACAAAATGGTCACCATAATTCTAACGAAGAACATCTTATTGCTATGTGTGACATCATATAATTATATATATATATATATAATTTATAAAAATATATATTATTTAACGTGTCCGTATCCTAATTTTTTAGAAAATTTCGTGTCCATGTGTTTGTATCATGTGGTATCTGTGTCTGTGCGTCATAGGTTTCAAGGGACATCCTTGTTGTTTATGAAATAGCATTGACATCCCTGCCATATTTGTCCCCAGAATGGCGTCTGATTGCCCTGCAGTTAATTTTAATTGCAAAGAGCAAATCCTTAAATAAGACAATTTTTTCCCCCTATTGGACAACTTAACATCCATTCACCCTCCGTCCCTTCTACAAATGCAATATTGTGATTCTTCAATAAGTTGGGCATGTTAATAGAACCCTAAACTTCGATCTGTTTTTGTCCCTAAAGCATGATATATCTTCCAGCTTCAAAATGTATGATATTTGTAGTGCATGCATTATAGTGATTTATATTTCAAAAATTTATATTTCTTCCATAAGAGGGGGCCTTGGTGGTATGATTGGTTCAGCTGGAGATGCATATATGGATGGTGTCATATTGGGATGCATCTCCAAATTCACTAAAAACTGCCAAGGTGGTGCAATCAGGTATACATAATGCATATACGGATTAAAAAAATAACAAAAAACCTTGGCTACTGCAAATCCATTCAACCACCTTGGTGTCTTTTAGGTCTCGCCCAATTGCTGAAGTTAGAATATGCGTAAAGGGGTGCTTTTTTAATTGTTTATGTGTAATGAGTAAAACGATTTACTTGCTAGCATCATTACTTACAATTTGAAATATGTATTGGAATGTTCTTGACAATGTGCAGTTTTTTTGAGGTGTAACAACTTGAACTTTTATTGCATTGATATTTGATTGCCCAAGTCATTTGTGATGACTTGGCATTCAGGACGCTTGGTAATGTGCTGATGTTGTTGCTTCTTTTGAGAATAGAACTACCACTATTCTTTTCTCATGTATTCTGGCAGCATCATTTGATTGCTGAGGGGTTTGGATCAGACATCAGATTGTGAGTTGTTCTGGAGAGAAGAGGCTATTATTGTTATGTGATATATATGAGTGGGTAATCTGACATAGTGATATCAGTTAACATTCTTTTGTTCATTCTGTAGCTTGATCAGCAGTGTGAGGACCGGACTGTTCTACGATATGTTTATTATTACCTGGCCAGAATCTTATCAGATACTGGCTCGCAAGGTTTAAGTCCTGGTGGTGGGATCCCTACACCAAATTGGGACACTTTAGCTGACATAGATGCTGTTGGAGGGGTGACCCGAGCTGATGTTGTACCTCGAATTGTAGACCGGCTTACTTCAGAGGCCTTAAATGATGACGTTGAATGTAAAGTGATCTTCTTATTCAGTCTGCGATTCTTATCATATTTTTTTCACTGGTTTCATCCATTTCCCTCATTAGTGCCTGCTTCTGTTTGTTCCTTTTCACTTTTTCCCTTTGGGAGTTGGATAACCTCCCTTCCTCTTGGGACAGGGGTTTTTGTCAATATGCTGTACTGAACTTGAGCAAAATGTTTGGTGTATTTAAAAACAATTATAATTTTTAGTTTTGCTACCCAAAGTGGCAGGAGCCTCGTGCACGAAACCACCTTTTTTTATATCTTTAAATGCTACTTCATCATGGAAACATGATTAGTACAAGAAGATGCAGATGTAACCATTGTTGCTTGATGAAAATGTATTGTAAATGGAAGACACTGTTGTTAATTTTCTAGAATTTCTTTCCCCTTCATGTATTTCTTTTTTTTATTAAAGTTTAAGAAGTGGGTATTTACTTCTCTTTACTTGCATTTTGAAGTTCATGCACGAAGACTTCAAGCATTGAAGGCTCTGACTAATGCTCCATCTTCCAACTCTGAAATACTTGCCAAATTATACGAAATTGTATTTGGCATCCTAGATAAGGTTGGTGCCTTATTAAGTGATTACAGTTTTATATTTATGGAATCTTTCTCCATTATACATTTTGACAAAAGTGCAAATGTTTGCTTTGTTTTGTCTGTTTTGTTTGTTTGTTCCTTTTTTTTTTTTTTTTGTTTTTTGTTTTCATGTAGGGGTGAAGGTTTGTGCTTTATTTACACTTTTCGCTGTATTGTGGGTGGAGTATTTCAGGTTGGTGGTGTTTTGAATTTGACTTCTTCCACTTTGACCACTGCAGAGGATGTTGACGTCTTATAGCCTATAGTTCATGTTGAATGCAAAGATAGCAGTTGTTAATATCACCAATACCAATACAAAGGAAAAAGCTTTTGGATTGGACATAGGATTCTACTTTCAGGGACTAGTAATTTCTTTGCAACTATAATATTTCATTACTGATTTCAGAAGCTAGTGGGGATGAGGGGACTAATGAATGAGACTGTCATTGAAGGGTGCAATCAGCATACAAAATTCAGGGATTAGCTTTGAAGTGGCAACTTATGTTTTCATTAAGATGAGGTTACTAGCTTGTTTACTGAAGTTCTGGTCTCAATGGATAAGCTAAAGAAAGATTTAATCAACAATTAGAATTGTTGAGCCTTGAATTAGTTAAATCCGTTCAATAATGAACTAGTTTATCATGTGCTGGTTTAGGAATAAGCCATCAAGCTTTTGATAATTTTCATTTGCTTGCAACCATGGATGTCAATGACTACAACTTTGGCCTATGGCACTCCTATTTTTATTTTCCTATTGGCTTTTTTTTCTTTGGGGTGTGTTTGTGTCTGTGGAAGTGCTTTCTTCTTTTGCTGTTTTGCATCATAAACCGCCTGACTCATAGCAGCATTCTCTTTTACCTGATTGCTTGATCTCCCCTCGGAATTAGTTGGACACTTATACTGGAATATAATTATTTTTTCACAGCTCGAGTGAGATGAGGAATCTCGTCTTCCTGAGCCTTAAGACCATCTTTTCCTTCAACTAGAAAATACCGTGGCGTTTTATCATATTGATCTTAATTGGAATCTTGAATTGATAATCTCTTCGGAGGGGATTGAAGGAAATGTTCCATTCAGCCGGAGAATGATGGTTGCGGTGGATGTTTGTTCAAGATAGTTGTTTACTCATTTAATATGGAAAAATCAGTTAGGGGATTTGCCAACATTGTAATTCCAAAAAAAAAAAAAAAAACCCCTATGGATCAATTCCACTTTATAAATCAGTAAGACATAAGCAAGAATGGGTACGAAGAATTGTATGTGACACAGTAACAAAAAAATGTTGAACCTTAAGGGGCATTTGGGAATCTTCGGCTATGTTTGGTTATCATCTTGGAAACATTTGTTCTAAAAATTTCAAAAATACCCAAAACTTGTTTGTTTAATATTTTTGTTCTCTAAATTTTTGGGAAAAAATGAGATTTGAGTCAAAGAAACAGATATATNGAACCTTAAGGGGCATTTGGGAATCTTCGGCTATGTTTGGTTATCATCTTGGAAACAGTTTTTTGTTCTCTAAATTTTTGGGAAAAAATGAGATTTGAGTCAAAGAAACAGAAATATATATATATTTCTGTTTCTTTGACTCAAATCTCATTTTTTCCCAAAATTTAGAGAACAAAAATGGTAAACAAACAGGTTTTTCATTTCTGGTCAACTCTAGAACTTTCCTCATTCTGCTATATATATTCACAAAAGGACTACTATGAGTTGAAAAACTTATGTTTTCAAATCTAGACGCAATCAAATCCTGAAAATTTGATTTTATCAAATGTATGCTAGCTTAGAACTAGTGAACCCTTTTCTCGGCTTGGCTTAGCCATGAGGCATGCCAGGCATACTGTTAGGAGTAGCCCCGCAGACTTAAAATTATAAAAAGCATGTTCTTAATTTGGTTTTGGTAAAATTGTTATAGGCTCCTAACAAGGATTAAAATTTCGGTTGAAACGTTTTTCTTTCCGAGGAGGTTGAAATGAATTAGTGATTGAATCGAAATTTCAATATTTCGAGGTATTTCAGGATGTTTTGAAGTATTTTGGAATGTTTCAAAATGTTTTAGCTTTTGATTTTTTTAAAAAATAAACTCCTAAATTTTTTCTTCGTTTCCATTATGTTTCCGAAATATTTTCAAAATGTTTTCGTGTTGTTAGGTGACCAAAACAATGCACTAAAACGATATTTTGATCGTTGGCTCCTAATCCTATTTTCTTTTGTATGCTCCTCGTCTTTTTGATAAAGATATGGTTAGATTATACTTGTCTATTGTTCTACTTTGCTATTACGTGTTAATTTCATAATATTGTGATTGTCTTTAAAATTAACATAATATAAATAGGTGATAGGGTGTAGGCAATACACATACTACACACAATATTGTTTCATTATTTCTTTCTTCCTCTAATATATAGTTATTCAAGTTTTAACTTGGTATCTGAGTAATATATTTGGGTGAGTAGGGCTTTAGGGAAATGGGGGCTCTAGATGTTGGGCCTACTCTCCATCATATTGTAGATGTCTCGTTGTTCGTAAGTTGTTGTTGCCTTTATGTTCAAACCAATTTAGTGTTGGTTTAATAGTTTTTGATCCAGTTTGGTGCTGGTTTAGTGATTTTCATCCTGATTCAGTGGTTTTAATCCAAGTTCAGTGCAGGTTATGTGTTTTTAGCCTATTTAGAGTCGGTTTAGTGCCAATTTAATGCTTTTAACCAATATAGTGCCGGTTCAGTGATTTTCAGGCCAATTTGGTGTTAGTTTAGTAGTTTTGGTCCCACTTTAGTGACAATTCAGTGTTTTTCGAACCAATTGGTGATGGTTTTCATTTCGGTTGAGTGTCGGTTCGGTGTTTTCAGCTTTGTTTAGTGTCGATTCAGTAGTTTTCATGCTAGAATGGTGGTAGTTTAATGGTTTTCAGACCAGTTTAGTGCCAATATACTCATTTTCAACCTAGTTTAGTGCCAATTTGGAGTTTTTAGCCAGATTCACTATTGCTTTTGTCGTTTTCAGCACCGATTCGGTCCTTTTTGGTTGATTGAGCTTCAATTCTACTTGGTTTATACTATTTTCAATTATGTGGTTGAATTGTTGTTGCTTATGGCTCATTGTAGCGTTGTTTGTTGTGTTCGTTTGTGCCAATATTGTTGTCATTCAACCATTTCTTAGAGCTCACATGGAGCAAGCACTTGAGATTATTGTTTAGGAGGAGTATCATGGTAGTTTGTGTCAATTAAAAAGTCTATATGTTTTGAAGCAGTTTAGTTTTATTATACTTATTGCTTACGTGGAGATATTGCAACTCTTTTTGTAAAGTCTGGTGATCAGATATTCTTACCAAATCATTGTCATTGTCCACCTCATAGTAGTCTTTGGTTCAAGCTAGGCATTTTTTATTTCTATGTTCTTGCTTGAGGGGAGTGTTGAAGTGTTATTATCGAATTATGTCGCATATGTTCTAATGTAATTGTATTGAATAGCAACCTAATGTAAGTAGGTGATAGGGTTTAGGCAATACACATGTTACACACAATGTTGTTTAATGATCTTTTTCTTTCTATTTTCTTCTTTCTCTTTCTTTATTTTCTTAAACCCTAATATATAATTATTCAAGTTTTAACTGTTGTTTCCATCCAGAAATTTCATGTAGTTTGTTTGGATGTTTGAGGAGCACTATAGACAATCAAATCAGGAGAATGTTGAGTTTTTGTGAGAGGTGAGGCCAAGGCAGAGCTAGAAATGAGCTTAAGGGTGGACACTTTAACTTGGGCCGGCTCTACACCATAAAGCGATTAATGCCTTTAGGCTTCCACAAAGTTGACTCTAATTTTATGTATGTTAATAAAATGGTGTAAAGCACAAATCTAAACTCAATTAAAATCCAATCTGTCGATAAAAAATATTTCATAAAAGCGAAACATCAAAAAAAAAAATTCAAAATGCAAATGAAAAAGGTCATTATCAAATAATATTACTTTTTACTAAATGATCATATTGAAATCAATTGTCAATTACACTCGAATCATACCCATATAGAGTTATAATAAATAAATTATATTTGAAATTGACAGTTGGTTTGAACAATAGATTTATCTCTAGCTTTTTCTTATCGATCTTAGAAAATTGACTTTGGCATGTTTTTATATTTTGTATCAAAATCGCAAAATTATTAATAAGAATTCAAAAAGTAGGCGTAATAATACATCTAGAATTCATTTGAAACAAGTCAATCATCAATTTTAGAAAATTAGAGATCAATTGTAAGCCAATTACAAAAAATTTAAATTTTGAATTACGAATTTAGAACCAAAAGAATCCACAAATACACAAATCAAGGCCAAATGGTGGGCACAACTTATTATATCTAAAATTATAGCTAAATTATATATATATGATTAGGAAAAAAAATTAGGCTCCTTACATACATCCGCCACTGGAGGGAGGGAGAAAGGTCTCATGTGACTTGAAGTCAGATTGATTGAGTTGCCAGCTTGAGTGGTTCTACCAGCACAAGTCACCATTGGGTCAGGGCTTGCCATGTGAATGTTATACTTACGTGAATAAGAATAGGAAAAAAAGGGTTCGAAATAAAAAATTCAGCCATATATTGGAGACATCTATTAACAAGCTAAAATTGTTTCTTGTTAAGAAAAAGCTAAAATTGTGAAGCCAATAAGACATGATTTGCCTGGTGCACTCTTGGTACTTTAGCTAGTAGGCTGTGATGTATCTTCTGTCTTGTTTAGTTTGCATTGTTGGCCTAAGTGCCAATTATTTTTTTTGGTAAGGATGATTATGGAAAAGTTGATCTACCCAGAAGAGTACAAGCTTTTTATGGAGAGAGATGGTAGCAATCCTTTAATGGTTGAAGAGGGCATTTTTGACCATTCAGTCAATAGATAGAATATTTTGTGTAATATTTCTTTATTGGATACTTTGGATATTCTTTTGCTCCTCCTTGATTAAAGGTACAAAGGAGATAGAGGTTTTTTTGGCTGATTGGCAGTTCTTGCATTTCGATCTCCTGCTTTTTTGTTAGATTAATTACTTTTATTGGTTCAGGAAAAAGTCATGGTTACTTGTGTTGAAATATGTTATATAATTTGTATGCCTTAAGAGTGTATTTATGGCTTGACTGGGATTTAGTGTAAA